GATCTGTTCTTCATCTCTACAATTTTGTCATTTCAAGAAAGTATTATTATGAGGGCCATGCGTGGGGTTACATACCAGTAACCCCAGCTACTCAGGAGGTAAAGGTAGGAAGACCTAGGTCTGAGGCTGGCCTGGGCCAAACAAAAGGTTGAGACCTCCATCTGAAAAACTAACTAAAAAGCAAAAGAACTGGGGACATGACTCAAGTGGTAAGGTGTCTGCCTAGCAAGTACAAAGCTCCAGTACCACCACCAAGGAAAAAGAAAAAGAAAGAGGAATCATGCAATATGTAACCTTTAAAAGTGGACTTTGTTTTGTCATAATTCCCCAGACATTCATGTAAGTCATTGAGTGTTTTGGTGATTGTGTGCCATAATGTGTACATGCCTCGTTCACTTGTTGAAGGTAATATGAGCTGTTTTCACATTTTAAATATCTCAAAAAGCTGCAGTGAGATGCGTATGTAGGTTTTTGTATGGATGTAAGTTTTCATTTCTCTGGGATAGATTCTCCAGCATGTACTTGCTAAGTTGTGCAACAAGTATATGTTTAGTCTTATCAGAAACTGCCAAATTGTTTTCTAGAATGACTGCACTACTGGGTGTTCCCTCCAGCAATGTGTGAGTGACCCGCTTTCTCTACCTCCGCATCAGCATTTGGTACTGTCACTATTTTTTATTTTTAGCCATTCTGATACATATGTAATGATATGTCATTCTGGTTCCAATTTGCATTTGCTTCATGCCTATAGTGAACATCTTGTCATGTATGTTTTTTTGCCATCTGTAGATCTTCTTCAGTAAAACATCTGTTTATATGTTTTTTCCCTTTTCTAATTAGATACTTTGCGGGGCTTTTTGTTTGTTTATTTGTTTACCATTAACTTTAAAGGCTTCTTTATATATGCCAGAAACTAGCACTTTGTGATTTGCAAATACTTTCTCCCTATCTGTAGTTTATCTTTTCAGAATCTCTACAAGGTCTTCCACAGAGTGAAAACTTTTAATTTTGACAAAGTTCAGTTTATCAATTTTTTCATGTTATGGGTTGTACTTGGGTTATTAAGCCTACGAGCTTTTGCCTTACCCCAAGTTAAGAATATTTTCTTCTAACAGTTTTCTATTTTGTATTCAAGTCCATGATCCATTTGGAGTTAATTTTTATATGTAAGGTGTGACCCTTAATATGTTGGCTCATTTTTCTGCCAATGGATATTGCTTAAGTGCATTTCAAAAGGTCACAGTCCTTCAAGAAACCTCTTGAAGTGTGTTACTATTATCATCCCATTTTGCAGATGGAGAAACCCAGAGAGATCTGGGCACGTGGTCAAGGTCCAGCAACTGCTAAGTGAAACAAAGCCAGGGACTAAATGCAGGTCTGCGTGACTCAGGCGCTCTTGCCCTCAACCCCTGGTCCGTTCCCTGGTCCATCCCTTTCTCTCTGCAGGAATCCTGCTTCTGGGCAGATGCTCTAGCCTCCTGCACACATTCCTTTATGCTGAGCAGCCTGACCCTTGCCTCGCCTCAGCACCCAGGCTACCCGAGGTTGTAGCCTGCTGGAACATGTCCTCTTCAAGACACGTTTTGCAGAATAGAGAATGGGGGCAGATCTGGGAACTTCCCTGTATGCAAATAGCTTGTCATTCAGGTTTGGGGAAAGGCTCCACAGGATTTCAACATCACCCAGGGTATTGCAGAGCAGCTCTGATAGCTCACAAGTCTGGGAGTGGTAGGATGAGAATTTTACATTCCTAAAACAAAACGCAATCACGTACACACACTCAAAATTCAGAAAGTTTTCATTCTTAATCTGCCCAAACAAAGCACACTGATAACAGTCAACAGGAAAGACTCCTAGTCTCTGGGGCAAGACCCTCCCATGGCTGGACTGTGTTTGTTGTTCTTCCTGGTAGATGTGGGTCACAGCTGGATCATAACCATCCCGTCACCTATTCCTGCTCGAGAGTTGACATTGGAAGCGAAGCTGCATCCCCCTCCCTCCAGCTCTGTCCTCCCTACCCTCTGGCTGTAGACTTCCTAAACTGGCAGGACCAGCACACATCAGCACTGTGACCCCTGGAAAGAAGTTGGGATGACTTTGCTCTTTCCCAGGTCCCTGGACCTCACTGCCCTTATTCTTTGCCTCTGTGACCTTAAACTCAAAAAGAATTTCCTCTCCTAGAGCTAATCCCAAGACTTCACTTTTTTCCTGGCCCACTTTAGAAGATAGGAGAAACATTTGCCTGTTCTCGAGATCCTAGTAGCAGGGGTAAATACTTTAATATATCTATCTTGCTGATTCCTTAGAAGCCCCAGCTGAACTTGAACTCACAGCTTGCCTGTTCCCACACGTGGATCAGTAGTCACACCCTGGCTCCAGCCTGTCCCTGCACCTCCAACCTGGGGAGAAACACACAGAGTCATTTTATTTAGGATCCTGACAGCCTGCCTTGAGCCTTGGTGTCCCTTCCTTCTTCATTGTCTCTGTGACAGTCCCTGCATGCAGCACTGGCAGCTTCCAGGTTCTTGCCATCACTGGAGAGCCACTAGGATTACAACTGCTGGACTAATTCAAGGTGGCTCACCCTAGCTACTTCCTCCAGAAGCCTCAGCTAATCTTGCTGGAGGTCAGTGCCTTCTCAGAGACCCCAAGCCTGGGTTTCATGGCTAGGGTCTCTGTTTACCTTTCCAGTCTTCATGTTTGCCCACCAAGCAGGAAGTAAGAGGCCTTGTCTTGACCTCCTGTTCTCCCTGACAGTAATGACTTCCACACCTCTCAGAAGCAGTCAGGGCTGCTCCCAGGGCAATAAGTCAATAAGTTCTGTAGTGCCCTGCCTTGCTCCAGCCAAAGGAAGATGGATGACCCCCCCAGCCCCAGGCCTGACATTGTTGTTGAGGTGTATGTCCTGCTCTGGCCACAATTCCTATCTCCTCCACCTTCTTGGAGGGTGTGTATCTCTTTTTCCTCCTTTTGCCATTTATTTACTTATTTACTTATTTTGAGCCAGGTTCTCCTTGATACATAGCTATGTCCTTGAACTCTCAATCTTCTTACCTCCTTCTGAGTGCTGGGATTACAAATGTATGCCACCTAACTGGGCTGTCCCTATATTCTAATGGCTCCCCCTTCTACCTCCACTCCTCCCATGCCCAGCCCATTTCCACAGGAACCAAGAGACTGGGTTTTGACATCAACTGTCTCTTACCAGCTATGTGGTCATTGACTATTTACTGTCTTCATGTCCAGATCTCTCATAAATAAATAGGGAGATGCTGGCCTCATAACATTAGTGAGGATTTAAACAAGAAAGTATCTATGAAGTACATACAGTAGGCAAAGAGGCTACCACTCCTGGAACAAAGTCACTGCTGAGTTACTAGTGGCCACCATTGGTTCACACCACAACTTTCTCCAGGCCCAATCTTCCGTCCTTTATCTGCTTGCCAACATTCATCCAAGTATGATGTTCCAGAAGGAGCGTGCTGTCCAAGGATTTATGTTTACCTACTATGCCTATGTTGTTCCCTGGGAGACTGGTGGATTTGTGGCATCCATGAGGGGCTCTACAGGTTTAGGCTAAAAGCAAGGGATTTCCTCTTCTGGTAGGTGAGCTCCTACCAGAACAAACAAATTGAACTTGTTTATTCTGGTGCTTCCTGTGGACTCTAGCCCATCTGTCCAGCCACAGATGAGCAGTACCTAACTGTGACCTACCCTGCCATAGAACCCCCAGCCAAGCCATGGCACACTGACTCAGCATCCATGAGGGGACCTATCTGTTGAAGCTCTTCTAATTGTCCTTGCTCCAAGGGTCTCTGAGGTAAAAGGGCAATTCCATGGGCCAGGGTCCCACCCTACAACACCAGGAAGCTCTCTTCCATTTTCACTTACGTCCCCAGGCATGGACCAAGGTGCCACCCACAGTTGAGGCCATGAAACAAGAAAGAGCAGGAAGAAACAGCTCAGAGAAAGGAACGTGCTGCCACTGCTTTTTGGGGACATCCCTCTCTCTGCCACCTGGCTGCTTCTACCCATCAGATGCCTTCTTATCTGCCTAGCAGTCAAGTTTGATACAGGAACATTTTCTCCCCACTGCCTCAAGTCTCTGCTCTGAACTCTCAGGCCAAATTCCTGACAACCTCTCCTCCTAGCAGATGATACTGCTGTCTGGAGTCTCCTCTCTATCAATCAGCCACCCCCAGTAATAAGACCAAGACCTCTACCTCCCCCATGGTTACCCCAGGACAGGTGCAGATTCCTTTGTGGTTGGAGCCCAGAGAAGCACCAGGAAGTGGACAGCAGTTCACCCTCACACCCTTTTCTTCCTGCCAATCTTTCGTGGTGACCTTGAGCACACTGAGACTGGTAAACAAACAACTTACAATAACAAAGGAAGCATCAAACCAGATCACAAGCAAATCCAGATCAGAAAATCCTCATTACAAAAATTTGAACCCCGTACTTTCTGAGGAGAGGGGCAGGAATCCAGGCTTCCACACTCCACTAGAGACTGGTAGCATAATTTTGAATTCTTGGTAAATTCTCTGCATATGAGCTGTGTGAAGACATAGCCAACTTCCACTTGGCACTAGGTGAAAACAAAATGCCAACTTCTCTGGCTGCACCTCTGCTTCCAGCTGCAGAACCTTGCTTGCCCAGCACCCCTCCCCACTCAAGGGGTGGAAGCCATTAAAATCAAAGACTGACTGGGGGAGGATGCCATGCTGAGGGGAGTGCCTCAGAGGGTCAATACCTCTTTCAGTTCCAGCTGCTACATCCCTGCTGGAGCCTAAGGCTCAGAGCTGGGTTTTCCCCGCCTTAGCAGGGCAGGCTCATCCTTCTAGGCGGAGAACGAGGGAGGGCCAACAGATCTCACCATCTCCACCCTCCTGGGACCTGAGGAGCAGGAAACAGAGGCTCTTGGGGCCTCCAGGGCAGCAGCCCCCACACAGTGCTAGAGTGCCAGGTACAGGATTGGCCAGGGTGGCCTCACCGACCCCATGGCCACTGGCCCTACGGAACTGCAGCTGGGCAGCCTCACCCTCTTCACCTGCGAGGACTTTGAGGACGAATGGCACAGAGTAGCCAGTGGTGGCTTCGGCCAGGTGTTCCAGGTGCGGCACAAGCGCTGGAGGACACAGTATGCCATCAAATGCTCCCCTTGTCTCCAGCATGACGCCACCAGGTACCTGCTGCTGGTCTCTCTCCTTCCACTCAGGAGAGACTGAGGCCGGGCATGCTTTTGACCCAGGGAGCTCAGAGGGAGGGGTGGGCTGGACTGAGGCTGACTGTCCCCAGAGTTTCTAAATTCTGCCTAGTACACTGAACTTCCCTGGCTCAGCCATCTCTTTTTCTGCACCTGAAATACAGTAGGCACACAATACCTGTTTGTGGCATTAACCTTTGTCTGTCTGACCTCTCAGACTTGTCCTGCCTCTTTACCTTTGGGTGTGATGACCCATCTTGGCTGCCTTCCTCCCCACGCTAACCTCTCAGGGCAGAGCTGGGCCTCCTGAGAGGTACGGCATTTTGATCTGTGACCTACAGAGAGTGACCTTTTCTCTTTCCAATGCCATCCAGGCTATCTGCTGCCAGGTTGCTGTAGGCTGAGATGACTGGGAGATGGAGATAGCACCTCCTTCTGGCCAGGTAGCATGTCCATGCCACTTGCTGGTTCTCACATAAATCCTGCTGGAAAGTCAAGTTGGGAGTACTATGATCGTTTTTCTTTGTTCCTGGCTCTTACTATGTGCTGTATGGCCACACCACTTGCAAGCCTCCCTTTTTCTCTTACCACCTCTCTCCTCTGTCCCTCACTCATCTCTGCCTTCCCACTGAGATGGGCTCTGGTTTCCTTCATACGAGGTGTGCATGTCCTAGCTGTGTGCTTCGATCGGCGGGTGGGGGGAGACACTGGATGCTAAGTCTGAGCATGAAAGCCATGTCCTCCTTCCAAACCTCCCGGGACATCAGCTAGATGCTGACTGTCACTTTACTTAGATGCTCTTTGTCATGTTCTCTATTGTCACTTCTTCTCAAACGCTCCAGACACAGCCACTCAAGCCAGTCCTTTCTCCAGTTCCTGGACCCTCACCTACCTCACAGAGAATAGAAAAGTGAAATAGGCTAAGACTCATCCATCTTCCCCCTCAACATCCACCTGCTGACTTTGAAATAGGGTCAGATTATTCTAGGGTTAGTCCAAACCATTATAGCCTTTGAAATTAAAAAAAAAAAAAAGGACTGGAAAGCCATGTGACCCTTGGGTGGAAAGAGGTAAGGAAATTAATGGTGATTAATGCCTTCTATGTATGAAGTGCTAGACCAGAAGTTTTACGTGAATTACTTCACTTGATCCTCCTCCCACATATGCATTCATTCATTCATAACTTGACAAATGCTTATTGCTGTCCTACTGTGTGTCAGACACTGGACTTGGTCCTGGGAAGTAATGATGCATGCAGCAGATATACCCTGCTTTCCCAGAGCTTGCAGCCTTGATGGAGAAAAGCATTAGCCAGATAATCTCACCTGCAAATATAAGTGTGCTATTATGAAATGTGTAATGAAAAGAAGGGTTGCATCCTTTGAGAACTTATTAAGAGAGAAGTTGACTGAGATGGCAAAAACCTTCCTTGAGGAGTTACACTGTAGCTGAAATGTGAAGAATGAGTGTGAGTTGAGATGAGGAAGAGAAAGCTTTTCAGGACCAGGCCACAGTGGTTGCAGAGGAACTGTAGCAGGAGGGGCAGGGTAAGTAGGAGGATGGGGAAAGCCATTATGCCTGGAGCTGAGACAGTGAAGGAGCAGTGGAAAGCCACTGAAGGTTTACAGGTGGCGGGGGCGGGGGGTGATGGGAGAAATCAATCAGATTTGCAGCACGGAGAATGGATTGGAAGGGACCGAGTGGGCACTGGTCCCTGTTGGGAGACTATGGTATTCATTCAGGAAAGAGATGATGGAGACCTGGATTGGAATGTCGGTTGTGAAGATAGGAGATAGGAATTCACAAGACTTGGTGCTTCGTTCACTGTGGAGAAGGAGGGAGAACCATGATGAGGAAGAAGGAATAGAGATTGATAGGCTGTCAGGTCACCAAAGGTCCACTGGAAAGTCCATCTGTGCAAGGAATGGATTGTGTCTGTTTTGTTCTCTACTGTATCCCTAGTGCCTGGCAACTGGCTGACGGTCAACAATTATTTGTGGGATGGTGGTGTTGACAAAAAATAAAACGTGAGAAGAGGCCCAGGCTTAGCGGGGGTGCGGTAGGTGGACATCACAAGTCTAGTTTTGTACATGCTAAGTGCAAGATGCCTTTTAATAGCCAAGAAGAGTTGTCAAGTACACTTCAGAGTGAAAGTCAGGGATAACAATACTAAAATCTGTGAGTCATTTGGTTTTGGGGATTACTAAAGCTAGAGCATGGGGGAGACCCATGCATTCTAAGCACTGCATGAACAAAACCAAGTCCCTACCCTCATGGGGCTTATCATGTAATGAGGCACTTATGACCACATGACATTTTCTTGATTAAATATGTGGGGAGAGTTAAGTACTCTGATCTTCCTGGATGACTTGGTCTAGAAATATTAACTTGTAGGCCATCAGTGTATGAAGGGATAAGGACTAACAGAGTTGAGGTAGCCATTTTCTGTAGGTTTATTTATGAAATATTTACTAGTTAGGGACCGTTTGAGTAAATATAGGACTAATTAGGGATCATTTGAAGCAGATGAAGGAACAAACTATCTGGTTCTATTAGGGAAGGGCTTCTAGGCAGAAGAGACAGCAAGTGTAAAGGTCCTGTGGTAGGAGCACACTTGGCATGAGGGCAGGACAGCAAGAGCTCTATATGGCAGGAGCAGAGTGAGAGAGGAGGTGGTTAGAAGGAGATGAGGTCAGTGAGCTATGTCTGGGGGGTGGAGGCAGATGAAAGAGGGCTTTGTCAGCCATCCAAAGAACTTTGCTCCTACTATGAAGGAGAGAGCTATTGGAGAGTGCTAAGCAAGACATGCTACCACGTACTTTAAAAAATTATGACTCTGGCTGCTAACTAGATTGTAACAGAGAAGTAAAAAGGCCAGTTGGGAGTCTTGGGCCAACATGCAAATGAAGAGGTGGTGAAAAAAATTCAGATTCTTTTTGTATTTTCAAGGTGGAGCTGATAAGATTCAGTGAGAGTCTTGTTGTGGGAGAGAGACAAGGGATCACAGATGTCCCCAAGGCTTTGTCTGGAGGATAGAAATGAGCAAGACAGAGGGAGGAGTGGGTTTTAGGGGAGACAAGCTTTTCATGTTAAGCAGCCAACTGGATATGTCAAGATTGACAAGGGAAAATGTATAGGATGAGACGAGGCAAGGGAAGCACCTGAAATGAGCCCAATGGCCAAGTATTCAAAACCTGCAAAGGAAACAGAGAGGAAGCAACCAGAATGAGAGGGAGAGATACAGAAGAATGTTGACACATTGCTGAGGTAAGAGAGTTTCAAAGGAAAGAGTGAGAGGCACTAGCTATTAGCTGAGAGCTAGAAATTGGCCAGTGGATGTGATGATGGCTGATGCCAAAAGCTAAAGAAAGGAGGTGTTGGAACCAAGAGTGAAAAGAACAACAACCCTTTCCACAAGTCTGTGTGTGAGGAGCCGGGTGTCATGGCACATGCTGATAATCCCAGCTACTCAGGAGGCAGAGGTAGGAGGATCCTGGTCTAAGATCAGCCTCAGGCAAAATTAGCAAGACCATATCCAAAAACAAGACAAAAAAACTAAAAGAGTTGGGGCATGGCTTAAGTGGAGCACTTGTCTAGCAAATGTGAGGCTCTGAGTTCAATCCCAGTACCATGGGGATAGAAAGGGAGAAGAAGGTCTAGGTATGAATGGGAATTGCACTAGGCAGTTACTATTATTTCCATTACTCAGTTTAGAAACTGAGGCACAGAGAATCCCCTTGTGCAAGGCCATGGAGATAGTAAACAGTGAAACTGAAATTTGAAGCCAAGATGGTGAGACCCTAAGGTCCCATAATTTTCCTACTTCACATCATCCTAGTTTCTGTGAACCCAGCAGCAGAGACAGAACAGATACATCACAGAGCTGGAGGGAAGACCTCCAAGACAGCAGAGAAGTAAGGGTGAGACCAGGAGAAACCCACAGTGGGCAGCCTGATCAGATGCCAGAGAGCTGGTGGCTATTCCCAGAGGCAGGTCTCTCAGGCTGGCTTCCCAGGGAGGCCCTGTGTGCACATTTCCAGCAGTGCCCCACCGCAGAGGCATGGCAGCTTTGCAAACACTGTGTTTTTAAAAATGGCATTTCTCCTTAAACCCTATCCTCACAATCCCCAAAACAGTCTACATCAATTTACACATTGGCTGCTCTGTGAGCACACACAGTGAAATGAAGGAGGAGGACTGCAAATGCTCATTTTGTAAAGCCTTCCCTTAAGTCTTGACTTCTGTTCACTTCAACAACAGTGCATCGTGCAGTACATTGCTATAAGCCATGGGGGGTACAAAGAGGACTAACTATAGTTCATCTATAAAGCGGAATGCCTGACAGCCATTAAAGACCACGCTCAGGAGAATGACAACGGGGAAGTGCTGTGATCCAAAGCAAGAGAGGAGGAAGAAGTAGCAAAAGGGAGAGAGAAAGGGAAAGCGATACTGTGGCAATGTGTCATAAAAGAATATACTAAAATATTAACAGAGGCCAACTCTGCAAAGTTGGATCACTGCTAATTTAATTTCTTTTTTATGGCTCTCTGTATTTCCTGGGTTTGCTACAAGGTGTATGTATTACTTCTATAATCAAAATAGCAATAGATGATATTTTAAAACAAAAGCGTGAGGCATAAGATTGGTACTCCAGGGGCTCGAAATCTGCAGGGAGAAATACACATATCAACAAACAGCCAGAATAAATGGCAGGCTTTGGGACCTGCATTTTTGTGGATTGCTCTGCAGAGTTTGCAGAATAGAGTAGCACCTAAGCCTGCACATTCCTCTTCCTATCTCTTCCTGTCTTGCCTGCCATCTGAGTCTTAATCCAGCCTGCCTGCCAGGTATCACTTCATGTCTTTGTTCTCTTCCATTACCTTACAAGCTCCAGAAGCTTCTCTGGGTCCCCTCCACTTAACATCAGGCCTTGTTTGTGTGCTCCACCTAGTTGCTCTGGTAATCAATGGGTCACCCTCTTCCATCTCTTACTGCCTGCTCTCCATAGCGTCAATGTAAATTGCCTCATTGAAGAAGCAGAGAAAATGGAGAAGGTCAAGTTTCAGCACATCGTGGCCCTCTATGGGGTGTGCAGGCAGCCCCTGGGCATTGTGATGGAGTTCATGGCCAATGGCTCCCTGGAGAAGGTGCTGCCCACTCACAGCCTCTGCTGGGAGCTCAAATTCCGCATCATCCATGAGATCAGCTTGGCTGTGAACTTCCTCCACAGCCTTAAGCCTCCTCTACTCCATCTGGACCTCAAGCCAGGCAACATCTTGCTGGATAAAAACATGCATGTCAAGGTAAGGGCCCTCACCCCTTTCCATGAGAGTCTCCCGCAGGCAAGCAGGCTTATCTACCTGCAAACTGGTCTGCCAAGAGTGTGATACTTTTCTCTTCTTGAACAAATGCTGAGGGCAGAGGTCACACTGCGAATAGAGATGGATATGCAGTGATGTTTGGTGCATGATGCTCAGTGCCAGAATGCGTACAGTAATGCTCTCTAGGCTTCAGTTTTCCATTTCTTAAATGAGCAGAATAATCCTTGTCACTCTTCTTTCTTTTTTTTTTTTTCCTGGAGATGGAGATTGTGTGAATGAGATAATCCCAAAGAAAGGTCATAATAGCCATGCTTTCAATTCTAAAACATGCCATACTTATTTCTGTATCTTCTGTTCCCTTACTGCTCTCTCTTCATCTAACAAATGCTAATCATCTTTGAGCTCTTAGATTAACCATCACCTCCTTTGGGGAGATCTTCCCTGAACTACCCTCATTGTATACCCTCATTATACCTCTGTTTCCTCATTTTGTTAGCCCCAATTGCAAGTATATAATCATTAATGAGTGTACAGTGTGGAGAGACATTTCAGTGGCCCTTCAATGAATAGCAAGTTGGGGAATGAATGACCCAATAATTGGAAGCAAGAAAAGGGTGAACATACATGGTGCAAGTGATTCAGGGGCCATGGAAGCAGGAAGAACAGAAGCAGCTCACTTGAGGACAGGAACTGTATACAGAGTTCCTCTGCCCAGTATACTAAGTACTAACTCTTAGTTACCATCTACAACTCTTAGCAGTACCAGCTACTAAGAACTTACTCTTAAGCTCTGTTCTAAGTGCTGTTTGCGTGCTTTATCATTTAAGGCCCATCCAGTCTTGTGTTGAGTACTCATAATTTTCCCATTTTATAGATGAGAAAACTGAGGCTCTGAGAAGATGAATAACTTTTCCAAGATTATCCACGTAGTAAGAGGCAGAGCTGGGAGACAGGGCAGTCAAAAACCACTAAGCTATGCTGCAAGGGATCTACTAATAGCAGGAGGGGTGAGAAACTAAAGCTGGTTTCTGCAAGAAGAACTTTGTTGCAGCCCTACCCCTAGTGCCTGGCTTTTTCCCAGATTTCAGACTTTGGCCTGTCCAAGTGGATGGAACAGTCGACCCGGATGCAGTACATCAAGAGGTCAGCTCTGCGGGGCACTCTCAGTTACATCCCCCCTGAGATGTTTTTGGACAGTAACAAGGCCCCAGGGCCCAAATACGACGTGTACAGGTGAGCAGACACCTGCTCTTTATGTCATATGCTTAGGAGTTAGTTTGTTTCCACACACTGCCTGGTCCCTGTGGCCAACGGGCAGGGCAGGACAAGGGTGAGTTCTGGTCCTTCCCTGACCAAGCGGAAGGGGAAGGATGGAGAGGACTCTGGCTGAAGATGCTTTGCTTGGGATATGGGGGCCCCCACTCCTGGCTGGGGATGTCTCTCTAATGAACATTTTTCCCATCACAGCTTTGGAATTGTCATCTGGGAACTCCTCACTCAGAAGAAACCATATGCAGGTAACAGCTGTCAGGAGCTCTGTGTCTCGGGAAGGGGCTGATGCCTCAGATGGTCCTGGAAGGGACTGTGAGAGGCCGAGGGTGTTGAGGACAGAAGAAGCCACAGGCTTGTGCTCTTGGGTGATTCCTGCCTTGCCTTATTTCCTCCTGCCTCCCCATTGTTAGGCTCAGGTATAGTAAAAAAAGGAAGACAAGATCTTCCTTTATGACTTTAGCATCCTTGCTCCCCAAGTGTACTTGCCTGCCTTCTCCTCACCCTGCACTTAGATGCAGGGTGCACAGGATGAACAGGCTGCTGGGAAAAGTGGTGAACCTTATAACATGGAAAACCAAAGCCTTTAGGTAGGCCTGTTTGTCTGCCCTCGGCTTCTGGACAAGAAAAACCCTGCAGTGTGACATCATATCCGATTTTGACCTAAGAGGTGGATGAAGCTGGACCAGAGACTCAGCGGCTCAAATCAGAGCCTCAGTTGGCCCCAAATCTAGCTTTCTATTCAGCAAGGATTTACAGAGCCCCTACTGTGTGCAAATACTGTGGGAATCCTCTCGGGCCCCCATTCTTCTGTCTAGGCCCTCTGTCGCTGCCTCCTAGCACCTGCACAGCCCAGACATTTTCTCACAGGACTCGACATGATGGCAATCATCATCCGTGTGGCTGCAGGATTGCGGCCCACCCTGCAGCCTGTCTCTGAGGAGTGGCCAGGCGAAACTCAGCAGATGGTGGACTTGATGAGGCGCTGCTGGGACCAGGACCCCAAGAAGAGGCCATGCTTTCTAGGTGTTCATTCAGCCTTCCCTACCCAGGGCCTGGGGAGTGGGGAGGCAGAAGAGAGAAGACTAGGCCCCAAGCCCACTCCTGAGATCCATGAAGAGAAACCTGCAGTACTACGGCCTGGGGACGTTTGGGAGGCAGCATCTATATGACAGAGCTGGGAGGAGGGCTCTGGGCAGCTGGCGATGGGGCTGGTCTACATAGATCTTGAGCTGGCCTTGCTGTTGAGCTTTGCAGCCTTCCCTGGGTCCCTTAAGACTGTGGTGTCCTCATTTTTAAAACATTCCCAGACCATGAAGTCATGGGCCTGAGGACAATGAGGTTATCTAGTCCTTTAGGGAAAGCACACACACTCATATTTGCACACATGTGAGCATCTTAGAGATCACCTAGCCCTGCTACCTTGTTTAAGGTGAAGAACGCCAACCCTCAGAGAGTCACTGTGCCCTGATAAGCCAAGGCCGGACATGGGTGTGAACATACATGAACCTAGGAATGGGTACTGGGGACACAGGAAACATTCAAGTATAAAATGGGGAACTTGCATTTCTTTCTCTCTTCTCCTTGTGAAGCAGACATCACCATCGAGACAGACATGCTGCTCTCCCTGCTCCAGACCTCTGTGGCAGACCCTAAGAGTGAGACCCTGGCAAGGAAGGTGTCCTGCAAACCATCACTGCGCCGACCCCAAGAGGTGGGTACAGCAGGCTGGGCAGGTCACTGTCACACTATTGGATCCTGCTCTATGACCTCTGCAGTCTCTGGCAGAACACTATGTGCATGTATTGCTCACATGGTTGCTGGGGCAAATGGGAAGGGAAAGCCAGTCCAAACTCCAGTTTCCACATCAGGAATCCCAGCCAGGGACCCTGCATGCAGAGGAGTCACCTTTTCCTAATTTGCACAGCGGTGTGCTAAGAATCAGTGGTGCTATGACTTGACTTGGGGTCATAGCACCTGTGGAGGACCCTAACATCTCTCACATGCATTGGTTCCTGCAGAGAGAGGCTTTGCTTTCCTAAGTTGTCACGCTTAGCCCTCTGCTCTCCTATTCCTACTCTGGAGCATCCCGGCTGAATCCACAGATCCAACTTGTAGTCCATGTGGCCCTATAGGAAGCTCAGTCCCCAAGGCCACCTTTTTTCTGGGCAGATCTCCCCTCCTGAGTGTTTCCCTCTAGGCCTAAGAGGTGTAGAGGTGGGAGCAATGGTATAAGAGAAGGGTCTCCCAGATTGGGTGGATATGAATCTTGAGGGGTGACAGGAAGGGCTGGAGAGAAGGCAGGTGGTGAGGACAACACCTACCAGATTTGCCCCACTGATTCTCCCTGTATATATTCATTCTCTCTCCCAGGTTAGTGAGGAAGTCAGCCAGGAGCTAACGGACAGTGGTGAGTCCTGGGTTCCATGGTGGGACCAGGGGATTCACGGGAGGAGAAAATGGAATCCCTTTATCCATCCTCCCTGGCCCTGTCACACATCCAGGGTGGGATAGCCCTGTTCCAGCCCCCAGCAGCATGGTCCAGAGACACACATGCCCTTGGAGGTCCTGGCTCTTCTTCCTCTTCTTGTCTGTGTCCTTGGAAGACCAGATTTCCCCATTCCTAACCTGAGAAGTATAGCCTGTTAGAAGTACTTGAGAAATTACCAAAACAAACAAACAAAAAAACCCCACGGATGCCTGGGGCCCAGTCTAGACAAATTCAATCAGAATCTATGGGGTTAAGCCTAGGCAGCACTGTTGCTATCTTAAATTCTGATACACACTAGATAAGGCAGGAGGAAGTGAATCCTGAGAAGCTCACAGGGAGACTAGCTCATAGATGTCCAACCATAATTGTATCTCTAACTTGAATTGACTTCGCTCCTCCCTGGCCACCTCTGAAAATTCTTACCTAATCTGTCCTTAACACTGGTAGAATGAGCCAGCACTATTCATCTTCTCTTTACTGAACTGGAAAGAGAGGCAGAGAATGGCCTAAGACTAGAGGATACTCAGGGGAGGAGGAAGAATTTGCATTCGGGTGTCTTGAGCCTGGCATCTTCCCACCTCCTGTGTGCAGGAAGAACACCAGGTTGAGCTCCAAGATAAGGAAGCTAGAGCTTTTACAGTAGCTCTAGCAGTAACAGTGATGAAGGTATAGCATCCTGGATGTCCTGAAAAGCATTGCTCTCATCCACTAGTCCCTGTTCTTGAACGGTACCTCCAGGAAGCAGGGGATGAACTCTGGACAGGTCATAAATCTCTTTTTTTAACCAGTCTTCTTCCTGGAAGACTCAGGAGACTACTTGAAGCGGGTCCTTCAGCTCTCTGACAGTGAGAGCTTGGTTCCAAGCGATGAAGATCTACATGTCTACAAGAACAAGATGACTCCCCTCCATTTCCTGGTGGCCCAGGGTAGCGTGGAGCAAGTGAGGCTATTGCTGGCCCATGAGGTTGATGTGGACTGCCAGACAGCCTCTGGCTATACACCTCTCCTCATCGCTGCCCAGGACAAGCAGCCTGAGCTCTGTGCCCTGCTCCTGGCACATGGAGCTGATGCCAACTTGGCAGATGAGGATGGCTGGGCCCCACTGCACTTTGCAGCCCAGAATGGGGATGACCGCACTGCCCGCCTACTCCTGGACCACGGGGCCCTGGTGAATGCCCAGGAAGATGAGGGCTGGACCCCACTCCACCTGGCTGCACAGAACAACTTTGAGAATGTGGCACGGCTTCTGGTCTCCCGACAAGCTGACCCCAACCTGCACGAGGCTGAGGGCAAGACCCCTCTCCATGTGGCTGCCTATTTTGGCTATGTTGGCTTGGTCAAGTTGCTGACAGGTCAGGGGGCTGAGCTGGATGCTCAGCAGAGAAATCTGAGGACACCACTGCACCTGGCAGTGGAGCGGGGCAAAGTGAGGGCCATCCAACACCTGCTGAAGAGTGGGGCAACCCCCAATGCCCTTGACCTGAGTGGCTATGGCCCACTGCACATTGCTGCTGCCAGAGGAAAGTATCTTATCTGCAAGATGCTGCTCAAGTATGGGGCCAGCCTCGAGCTGCCCACCCAGCAGGGCTGGACACCTCTGCATCTAGCAACCTACAAGGGCCACTTGGAGATCATCCACCTGCTAGCTGACAGCCATGCAGAGTTGGGTGCTCTTGGAGGTATGAATTGGACCCCTCTGCACCTGGCTGCCCGCTATGGGGAGGAGGTGGTAGTGTCAGCACTGCTGAGGTGTGGGGCTGACCCTAATGCTGCTGAACAGTCAGGCTGGACACCCCTCCACCTGGCGGTGCAGAGGGGTTCCTTCCTGAGTGTCATCCACCTCCTGGAGTACCATGCAGACGTCCATACCTGCAACAAGGTGGGATGGACACCTGCCCACCTGGCTGCTCTCAAGGGCAACACAGCCATCCTCAAAGTGCTGGTTAAGGCTGGCGCCAAGTTGGATGTCCAGAATGAAGTGGGCTACACACCCCTGCAGCTGGCCCTCCGGAGCCAAAAACAGGGCATTATGGACTTCCTGGAGGGCAAGGAGCCTTTGCTGGCCATTCTGGGTGGTACTGAGCCAGGAGCTCAGAGGGAAGTTTAGACAAACTGGGGCTCTTTGCCTGGAAGGAGAGAAGTTGGAGGAAGTGAAAGTTGGCTTCTGGGAGGTTCTCTTCCCACCTGCTTGTTTGACCTTGAGAGGAAATAGGAATCTGGTATAGTGTGTGAAAGGGGGAAGGAGGTGGTAGCACTGAGGTTGTAGCTAGGGAAGGGGCCCCAGGCTTGGAGAGCTGCATCCAGGTCATCTCCAGCAGACCCCTGCCTCTTCTTTCAACAGACTTGAGCCTCCAAGGTAAGCTTCAGTCTTGGGACTCTCCAGTCCCTCTGAAGATAAGGAGAGTGCTAGGGGTAAGGAAAATGGTTCCTCCTAGCTCATGTCTTATGTTCCTGGCTCCTCAGCTTGAGCCAGATTTACCTGCTTGCACAGGGAGCAGGGGCTCAGAGTTCAGAGGAAATGTGTCTAAAGCCTCAGCCAAGTCATCATTGCCACACTGGCCATTCCTGTTGGCTATGGTCTCAATGCTTGATCTCCTACAGTCTCTTGGGCGTGAAGAAAGGGTGTGTCACCACTGTAACTGAGTGATTCTATGTGGGACATCAGTTCCCTGGTCCCCAGCTCCACCCTTCTTTGTGCACAGTCATACAACCAGGTTTCAAAACATGGAGTCAATAAAGTTACGGTGGATCTGAGTCTTTCCGTGAAAGATGAATTGGCTGTGGGACCAGCACAAATATTATATGGGAGCCAGAAGTGTTAGTATGGGGTGTGTGTGTGTGTGTGTGTGTGTGTGTGTGTGTGTTAGGCCTATTATGTTTGAATATTACATGCATGTGAGCTCACATGAGGAGGAGATGGTAGGGGACAGCTGAAGAGATTTGGAGAGAGAGAGAGAGAGAGAGAGAGAGAGAGAGAGAGAGAGATTTATCCAGTGTGTGTGTATGCATAATATGCATGAGTTCATGTTGGAGAGGAGGCAGGGCAGCTAAGAATCTAAGGGGATGTGGAAGGTGTATGTGTATAATACATGTTTGTGTGGACAATGCAGGTGTGAGTCCACATGAAGGAAGGAGGCAGGGAGCTGACAGAATGGTAATGGGGAAGAGTGAGTTGTCTAGGCTTGGTGTGGAGCTTGCTGGGCAGGGACATTCCTCCTTCACAGCAGCTCAGTGAGCGGGCTTTGCTATAACACTGGCCATCTGTCTGCTGGCCTGGTCAGCTGGTTGTGGGCAGGTTAGGGCAGGGTAGAGCTGCTCTCACTCACTATGTGTGTTGGGGACCCAGGCTTAGCAGCCAGTAGTCTTCTAGGAAAGGAGCAGGTCCTTGGGAGGGCATGGGGAGGACAGGTATCCTGGGGTCCCATTCTGCTCCCCTCTGCCTGTCCACACTGTACAAGAGATCCTACCAGCTCAAAGATATTTTGCAACTGTCAGACAAAGGGACGCTGCTGCCCCAGCTTCTAGCCAGCTCCAATCCCTGAGCCCATTGGCAGACCCAACTTTGTCTGTCACTCTTTTAGGTTGGGCATTCCGGGCTGGATACCTTTCTCCTCCCACCCCGCCATCAGCAAGCTGGTATCATCAACAGGGGGTGAGAGACAGAGCAGAGGACACTTGCTGCCAACACAATCAACTCTGCTGAGGATCTGAGTCCATTTTAGCATCCTGTGGTCTCTGGACTGCTGAGCTTTGGACACTTTATCCTACCTTGCTATTAGCCTGTGGCCTCCACAGACAGCCAGGTATGAGTCCAGGAGCGGCACATGGTTGATTGTGTCCTCCAGCAGCAACTATCACTTGAGGCTTAACCCTGGTTAGATACTCTTTAAATATACCAATGCCTGGTCCTACCCTCAAACAATGAAACCAAAATCTCCAGGGTTCCCAAATGATTCTGAAGAGCAACCAGGACTGAGAATGACCACCAGGGGGCGCCCTGTGGTTCCTCTCAGTCCTTCCTTAGCAAGACTGTCACTGGCCAGCAGCTCTATGGGGGTGGAGAAGTCGTTTTCTCTCCTGGGTAGACAAGTAAGGACTCCTGAGGACTGAGGACACAGAGGCCCCTCAGCAGATCACTTTAACCTTCTACTTCCTGCTGCCTGCTCCAATCTCTTGATTCTCCCTGAGAATAAGTTTTAGGTAAAACTTGTAGTTAAAAATACCCTTATGTGTCCTGTGGTTCCCAGGACAATCAGAGCAGGAGAAGGAAAAGGGAGGGGTGTCTAGGTTGTTTGCATTTTCTTGAACCATGGAGTCTGGATCTAGCTTCAAGTCTAGGATTGTAGGAGAGCTAGAGGTGATGCTCAGGTTACATATTCACAAGCCAGGTGAGCACAGATCAACCAATGGGAATGGTAAGGACTGAGGAATGGGAAAGGATAGTTTGTGACTTATCCAACTGAGAAGACTTTTGACAAAGGACTTAGTCTCCTCTATGGCAATTTCCTTCCTCTCCTGCTCACAGAATCCCTTCCCCTGCCCTGGACACAGCTCAGAGTTAAGCCTCCAAGTAGCTGTTTTCCTGCACACTGTATACTCCTGAGGCCAACAGGACAGAGTGTGTGGATGAGGGCCTGGTCAGGACAGTCCAGAAGGCATGGCTGTCTGAGCATTGTTGCCCCAGACCCTGCTCCTCCCATCCCTGGAATGGTACCACCCCCTCCTTTGCCTGACCACCACTCTCCACTTCACCTGTTGCACCTGACATCCACTGTCCCATGGTGCCAGGGAGGCTGGCTTCCTCTCTAGCCTCAACGCAGCTCCAGGTCTAGAATAGAAGACAAATGTACATATGGGAGAAAAACCCAAACCAGTGCAGTGGCTATGTGCGTTTCCTATGAACTTGGGTCTATTTATGGCTCCAAGTGAGAAAAAAAGTCCTCTCTAGATTGGCCAGAGTTCTGCCCAGCAATTGTCACCCTGCTTCCTCTCCTGGGACTCTCTGGGCAGAGCTGGGAGAGGAGCAAGTAGGAAGTTGTTTTTTGGTCTTCCTGTTGTAAAGATACTCTGTTTGCAACCTTCATTGGAACCCCAAAACCTGATTGTAGCAGAGCCAGAGGTAGCGGTGAGCAGGAAAGGATCCTCAGAAACATAGATACCCAGAGTCTGGCCTTCTTACCACTAACACAACCTCTGCTTTGCCCCGCCCCACCATGTACTTGTCTGCTGGGACAGCCAACTACTATTTGCAAATTCTTAGGATATTGCCTTGGACGTCTGGTCTCAAACAGTTTTCTCTGTGTCTTAAAGTTTTTGTCTGACTACGCTAGCCTCTTCCAACTGCACCCGGGCTGGTCAAGAAGCTGAGCTGGATTGGGTGACATAAGACATGGAGTCAGGACAACTTGCCACCCAAACAAATCACACTCCCATGCAAGAGGCTTCTATTTTTGAGGACTGAGTATAGGAATGGACCCTGGGGTTAGATTAGAGCATGCTATAAGGAAGGGTAAAGGCCACAGCAGATCCTGCACAGACGGGAGCTAAAAATCAGACACGGCCCATATCCTAGGACCCAGAAAGACTGAAACAATGGCTCAGGGAAAACTGGGCAGCAGGAAAAGGAAGCCTCACAGCCTCTGAGGATACCCATGGTGTGGGAATGGACCCTTGATGGGTGGGGACACTGGAAATGCCCCACAGGCAGGCCATTCTTCAATGCTCCTCTTTAAAGCCCCTGGCTGCTCCTGTCCTGAGATCACCTGGGAAACAGGGTCTGCAGTTGCTTCCTCTAGGGGCCATGCCTAGCCACATAGGAGCTTCTCCCTGCTGCCAGTCTCCTGCCTTTCAAGGCCCAGGCACTGCAGAGCTACATCATCCATGCAGAAAAATGGCGCCATGGAGCTGTGCAGGACATGCTGTGCTTTGTTGTGTTCCCCCAAGGTCCTAGCAGTGGAACCCATGCCTGGCAGAGGTGGGCCAGTGGGGCTTGGTATTTTTACATTATCATCCCATTAAACTGTGAAACCACAAAGGCAGGGGCCACAACTACCTTCTTCACTGTTTTATTCCCAGCACCTCACCAAGGACCTGAAGAAAAATAATTGCTCAGTTCATTGAGTAAGATGACAGATGGGCGTATGCACTGAGGCAATTTCTCAGTCTGCTGGGCCACTTGCCTTCTCCCAGCCCATGGCTACCTGGGACTCATCCAAACCTACCTGGGGAAGAATAAGGGCATGAAGCCTTGAAGACTGGCAGGCACAGCTGGACCTGCTCCTGTTAGCTGTGTGACTGTCTCCCATCTGAGATGATGTAAGCAGAGTGCCCTGTTGGGCATGACCTTGAGATGGTGGCCCTTTGCTGTCTCTGGGAAAAGGTGAGGCAAGGGGTGCTGCAGAGTCTACTGCAAGGGGAAAGGAATGCTTCTTAGACTTAAAGACCTTCTATGGAGACACACAGGCCAATACAGCTTGGGAAAATTCATGGAGCTTCCTTCCCACCCCCATCAAGAGAAAGAGGCCAGGGTCAGGGCCTCTTTGGAGAACCAGAACCTGGGTGACCCCCCTTCCACCTCTGTGTTCCCTGGTCCCACTCCTCCCATTCTCTTGCCCCTGAAGTGCTGAAGGGGGAAGAGGGTGGAGCCCAGCCCTCCCCCTGCCCACTCTAGCTGTCAATCTGCTGTCTGGAAGAAAGACTTGAAGCCTCGTGACAACTGTGGGCAACTATCTCTTGCCCCGCCTCCCGCCCCTGCCCTGCCCTCTTCCCCTCTTCTCTCTGACAGGGCTCTTCTCAGATTGTTCTGGGGCTTGCTTCCCCTCCTGCTCCAGGTCCTCCCTTCCCCTCTCTTCTTCTCTTTGCCTCCCTTTGTCATCTCTTCCAGTTTTCACAGTTGATAAACTTAAATGCCCTTGTAAGATTTCTAATAATGAGATGAACTTTAAGCTCCCATCCAGGCCAAAATGGTCCATATGGTCCAAGGACTGAGAGCCTGGTGTGTGTGTGTGTGTGTGTGTGTTGACTGTGGGATGAGTGTCAGCAGCTGAGAGGTCCTAGGGTTTCTGGACCCCGTGGGAATCTGATGCCTTCCCCAGGTGATGGTGACCAACTTACAGGCTTCCCCAAGCTATGCTAGGGGTCTGTTTTGCTCACCTTCTGGAATCAGGATGCTTCTGGGGACGGGAGCCTCTCCCAGGACTTAGTGCTACATTCAGGTTCAGGGAGAAGATCAAAGTCCATAATTAAATGTTCAGGGCAAGTTATGTACTCCAAACTTCGGTGCTAAAAATATTGTATTTAGCATGCAAATTATGCCCTGACAGCTCCTGGAGCCTGAGCCCGTGGGTGCCACCACACTGTTTGTCATCATCACTGTTATTCTCAAGGTGCTCAGAACATCGCTCTTTCACTGGGTTGATTTCGATTTAATCTTTAAAAATCCAAACCTCTGTTGTCAGGGCAGTGCAAGTGGCAGCCCACGAAGGCTTGGAGCTGTGGACTGGCCTAGAGGCAAGAGGATGAAAAGTTGTCCAGGCCACAGCACTCGGGCCTTGCCTGCCTTCTTCCCCAACCTGTCCAAGAGATGGAAATCCTGATGTCAGACAAAGACAGGACAAAGGACAGAGACAGACATAGGCAAAGCTGGCACAGCAAAGGCCACCTTTTTCATGGAGCCTTTTCTGGCCTGGTGAGTGAGAAGGGCAAAGGATTGTCTCTTTAGAGGCACCAGGACTTTGAGAAGTGACACATGTGGCTACCTGTCCCCTGCCAGACACAAGGGTTTGGAGCTATACCTCAATGCTAAGGACCACGTTCGCACTGTTTTGGGCCACCCAAGGGCCCTTGGAAGAGACTCTTGTCAAAGTTTTATTGGTTTGGTGCATGTAGAGTGATGTTACAGAATCTGGGGCCCAGGGACTCTCCCCAAGCTGCAGCTTCTCCTCCTCCCTCAGAGGAGGGCCAGGCCAGGTCCAGTGGTATTTGCCAGCCTCCTAGCAAGGGTTCCTCTAAGGCAGAGACATTGGAAGGGAAGGCAAATGGGAAAGAGAAGAGGCCAAAGGAAAGGAAAGTTGTTTTGTGTCAGAGTGGCAGGAGGAAGTCCCTCAAAGAACCTCAGATGCACTCCCAACTCAAGCCCAAACGGGGCCTGACTTCTCAGACGGGCCAGCATTTGCTATGGGAAGGGACGTAGCCACCGCCTGTTAGGAAGTGGTAGAGTGGGCTGGGGGTGGGGGTCAGCGTTTCTCTCCCCACAGACCTTCTAGGGGCTCTTGGAGATTAGGGCTCCTCTCCTGGAGAGTATGGAAACCTTACTTAGGGAATGGTGGCTCACGCGGACTATGGTGGGAACTGAGATTTTTGGCTTGGACTTCTCTGGGGGTCCTTCGTGCTGTCTGGTATTTACACGAATCTCCTAGGACTGAAGTTGCCGGGAGCCTTGGTGAGAGACCTTGCTGTCCCTGTGTGAGCTTTGTGGGGTATGAGGTGTCACTCCTTCCCACTGTCTACTCCAGTACAGACCAGTGAGGACCAGTCAAGCCCAACCAACAAGGATGGAGCGTTCCATCCCTTGAACTTGATTCTGGCCCCAGTAACCCGAGATCCCAGTGCCCCAGAGAAAGGTCAAGGAAGGCAGCTGCATCTTTGGTGCCAAGGAGATGGGGCCTGGAGGTGGAAGAGGGAGTCTGTGAGCTGTCCTGAGCCATGTGTCCAGCCCTAGGGCTGGTACCATGCCTGGCTCCCTAGTCCCACCCTGGCAGAACGAGGGTGTGTGGGCAGAGAAGGGCCCGGAGCCAAGCTAACACTGCAGGGCCTTGGGGTGAAGAGAAAGCCGAATCCACCCAGGCCCTTCTGCCCATGGCTTGCAGGGAGGTGGGAAGCAGCTGCTGTGCAGGCAGGTGGCAGAATCAGCAGTGCAGGATCTTCATGAAGGCCTTTCGGAACTCGACGTTGAAGGTCGTGTAGATGATGGGGTTCACAGCACTGTTGACGTAGCCCAGCCACGTGAAGGCGCTGTATAGGACCGGCGGGATGTTGCAGTCACAGTGTATGTTCAGGATGTGTGTGATGAAGAAAGGCAGCCAGCAGATGATGAACACGCCTGGGGAGAGGGCATGGTCAGGACAGCCCCCAGCCCATTATGGCTTGTGTGTCACAGGCCCCACCCGGACACCAAAGATGCTGACTGCAGTCCTAGGGATACTTCAAGGAGTTGTGGTCTCAGATTCTAGACCTGCTTTTCTCCAGGGAAGGGTCTCTTCACCTCCTTCAACCTCATTTTTCTATACATTCTGTCAAATGTATACAATCATACCTACAAGGCAAGGATAGGTGGTTTGGAAATCTATCAGAAATGTTAGCACTCTGACCTAAGTCAGCTAGTGGAAATGGAAACACTGGCTCCTCTTCTCAGTTCCCTTTGAGAAGGACGTCTTCCTCACACTGACAGCAGAGGAACTTTGCTCACGACAATGTGGGACACACAGTTTGGGGAAAGGAAGCACTAAGTACCCTCTCTCTCAGTTCTCATGGCATCCCCATAAGGTTGAAAGGAAACTGAGGTTCGTAACACTTCTGCAATGTACCCAGAATTCAGCTCTTGAATGGCTCAGCCAAGATCTAAACTCGTCTATCTAGGCTACCAATGGTCAGGCTCTCTTTCTAGCCTTCTCCCAATCTCCCCAGCCTGGTGGACACAGCCTTGCTGGTCCTGCTGGAAGACCACACCCTCTCACGGCAGACCCCCTGCTCTCTCTGCTGTCTGATGCAGGGGCATTTGCTCCAAGACCATCTGTTTGGGTGCAACACTGAGTGTGGAGGCAAAGGAGGCACCCTAGGGTCAAAGAGGTATCCCAAGGGAAGAACAGGACCTCAGAACAGAGCCACTGTGGACTGCAACACGAGGCCACGCTCCTGCCCTCCCCACCACATCTCAGCCAGTGATCAAGGGGAGCCCCATGACCTGCTGAGGCCCATGCTCACATGCAAAAAGTGAGGAAAGTAGCACCTTCCCACTCAAATCCTAGGATTGTTCAGCCATCAGAGGGGATCCTAGATGCTATATGGGTGGCAGAGTCACTCTAATCCCTCTTTTCCCCAAACACCCTCACCAGTCCACCTCTTAGTTTTTGACCTTTATTATGTGACTTTCTGGGATAATTTTATTCAACAGTCTTGTCCAGTGGACAGGACCACTCCCTAGTTTGGATTTGGGGCCACCTCTCAATGTCCCCTTTTATTTTTTATAGCTCTTGTCCCATAGGAACTAGGTTGGGCACAAATGTGTATTTCCCAATTCCTCAATAACAATAGTTTTTAAAAAAACATAATAATATGTTATCACTTTGCAAAGCACTTGTAAATGTTTTCACCAACCTTCCACTGTGATCGCAACAACCTAAGAGTAGGTTACCTACTCTACAGATGGGGTGACTGGAGAGGAAAATAAACCTGTTTGGGGTCACTAGGCTCTGGGCATTATGACAGATCAGTGAAATTCATAGGCTCAAGTCAGACTGCTTGAGTTCAAACCATGGATCCTCCTTGGTCAAGTTATATACACACTAACCCTTGGTTTGACGACTGATAAAATGAACACAATTACAGAATCTAGCCTGTATGCTAATAGGCGTGGTCTGTTTCTGAGACAGTGCCTGACCCATGACCTTCTAGTCACTGTCAGGAAGGCATGGCAGGGTCTGGGACCTGCAGTGATGGCCCCTTACCCAGGCCAGGGCTAGGTAAGGCTGAGCTGTGGCCAGCAGCCAGAGCCAACTCACCGAGAACAATGGCGAGCATCTGAGTGGCTTTCTTCTCCTTCTGCTGCGAGAGCTTCCTACGGCTCATGGTCTTGAGAGAGGTCCGGGTTTTGCCATTGGGCATGGTCTGGATCTCAAAGATCTTGGCAATCTTGGGGTGGTCTTTGGCATGCCCGTTCTTCTCTGGTTTGGCGGGGCTGTCGGGAGTGCTATGGAGGCCATGGTGGGACGGGTCGGGGAGAGTCAGCTGGTGGTGGCTGGGGGGGATGGGGCTGTACCGGGTCCTCTCTGGTGGACTGGTGCTGGAGAGCATCTCCATCTCCAGCTCCTGGGCTCGGCGGGCAGCCTCCTGCACCAGAGGCAGAGAGCTCTGGGTGAAGCCAGGTAAGTTCTTGGGCAGAGGTCACTCAGCCTCCCCAGACCTATCTGCCTCACTTAGCCCATTCTTGCCCCTCTGCAGACCCCTGTAAACACCAGGGTCACCAACCAAGAAAGGCAAGGAGGACCATCACTGAGAGGCAGGGACAGTCTGAGTAAAGGACTCAGAACCTAGAGTAGCCATCCCTATCCTCTTTCCAGAGCAATCCCTGCCTCTGTGCAGCCTCAATACCCCATGACTACTTGGGGGCTTGGAATCTAGGCACTTCTCTTTTAGTACCTGAGCCATGCTAGCTTAAGTGCCAGGTGTCAAGCTGGCTTCTAGGAATAAATCTCTGAATGACATTCAGTCCTGCCTCCAAGAACATGTTCTGACTGCAGAGAGGGCACCAGTGAGTGGGTGCCAGGCTGAAGCACGGGCCAGTGTGCTCCTGCTTCACAGGCACCTGTCCCAGCATGCACATGTGGGCTGATTAGCCTGATCCAAGAGTCAAAAGGCTGGCCCCTGGGGCCCCACATCTTCCCTGCTGGACTGACCTAGAGAGTCCAGTATGAATCAACTCACAGCCTCCCAGTTCTTCCTTACACTTTCCTGTTTGGGGCCTTGGATATCTTATCCCCTGCTTCTGAAATGCAGCCTGGCTATGTGCCTATGTGGCATGCCTGGGCTACTGCCTTGATTCCATCCTGAGGAATCCATCTTTATTTTGGCACCTCCTTATAAGCAGCAACTTAGAGTCCTGCCATTGTGACACAGGTGAATGGTGGGGACCCTGCTTCCCAAGGACCCTCACCTGGACTTTGTGTGTGTCCTTCTGTGGGTTCCCTGGCCTGTTCTCTGCCCACCAAGAAGATGAAATCCCTACTTCTTGGAGTACGGTGCTGCCATCACTGGGCAGACTGTGGATCTGCTGTGATTCTGTACCTCTGGGCATCACTTCCAGGCTTTGCTTCTTGACCAGCCCCTGTGGCTGCTCTGTCCCAGCCTCTTCCAGCCCCCAGAACCTGCCTGTCTGTAAGGCAGCTCATGCCAGTGGAAAGAATGCAGGAGTGAATTTAGAAGTTGCATATGTCTTGACTCAAATATGTGCCCTGTCACTAATTGTTTAGACTTGGGTGAGTTACCTAAACTCTCTGAGCCTCTGTTTCCTCTTCTGTGAACTAAAGACCAATAATATCAATAGCACTTACCTCCCAGGGTCATGGTGAGGATTTGATGAGACAATAGGAACATGGCAGGTGTTTGAAAAATGAAAATAGCCATTACCACTACTCTTCATATTGTTATGGCCAAGTCCCTTCTCCCAACAAATTTCTACAGATCTGTGTCTTGCAGAATTGAGGGGTCTTGCTGTACACATGCTTGGGTGTGGTGAGCATGCCCTCAGTTGAGGCAGAGCTGGGGGTGGTGGGAAGTACTTCTCCTTTTGACCAGATGGTGAGGCCTCAGAATCAGGGCTGGTGGGCTTCCCTACAGGCAGAAAGACTTGGCCCTGGGTGTCTGGCCTTCTGAACACTTACCATTCTCCGCCTGTTCACTGGGAAACTCCCATTAGACTTCATGATAACGGTGCAGAGTTTCATGTCCTCGGGGTGAGTACAATTGCCCTGTGGAGTGAGCCAGCACATGGGTCACATGAAGCAGTAGGGGGTAGAGTGGCAGAGGGTCGGAAACCCAAGCAGGGCAGTCCGTGGAGAACTCAGACTTGGAACAAGGGCTCAGAGATCAGGAGAACAGAGACCACAGTAGGCAGTTGGGGCAAGGATGAAGGTTGGTACTTCAATGAGGAAGTGGGAAGGACCAGGGACAAAAAGACTCTGATTTTTGCAGAACACCTGCCCAGGGTCTGGCACCATGCTAAGCACATGCTCACATTCCTGCTCACATCGAATCTTCAAGACCACCCTGTGAAGTACAGGTTATGATTCCCATTTAACAGATGAGGAAATCGAGGCTCACAGAAGTTAAGGAACATGCCCAAGTTCTATCAGAAGAAAAAATGGTGGTGCCAGGATTTAAACCTGGTGTTTCTAACCCCAAAGTTCTTGTTTCTCCCATGCACACACACTATGTTCCTTGGGGAAGGCCAAGTGGAGAGGAGAATTCGCATGATGAAAGAGCAGGGAAATGAAAGAGGAGCGGAGATGAGAAGAGGAGGTGAGAAAGCAGGAGCTGTGGGTGGAAGGGAGAACCGAGAGTATGGCAAGTACAAAGAATAGCATGGAGGAGACAGAAGGAGAGGAAGGGAGACAGAAAGGCCAGAGTAGGAAAGGAGAAGCTAGGCAGAGAGGAACAGAGGTGCCAAGGAAGGTACCAAGGAAGAACTGCTGTGTTCAATCAGAAATATCCCAGAAGAGATGTCTCCTCCATGCCCACCATGGATCCAACCACCCCCTTCCAGACATTCAAGTCTCTTCACTGAGGTCCACACCCTTACCCAGCTCCTGTACCCATCGCCTTGCTGTGATGTCCCAGGTCCCCACCTGAGCATGGGACAAGCTCCCTTGACAATGGTTAGGTAGGGACACTTTGAGGGGAGGGAGGATCTTGGGACCTTGAGAGGGGTCTTCAGGTTGGCTCTGAAAGCTCGGCTGCTGCGTTTGGTGTTGACCCTCTTGCGGCGCTTTCGGAGGACAATGTAGATCTTGATGTAGACCAGCAGGGTGACAATGAAGGGCACATAGAAGGAGACAATGGAAGAGTAGACCACGAAGGCAGGGTTGGCAATGATGCACTCATTCTGATCTGGGAAAAGGAGAGCCACAAGTGGGCATTGCGTCAGTGGGCCCATGGAACCACAGTGCCATCAAAGCACACTTACTTCCTTGTCGGCACCAAGGAATAATCTTACAGAGAATTTGACTAAATTAAGGTTGCCTGGAAATGTTGGATGTAAATAAATGTGCAGTGTAAATCAATAGGAAAACTACAACCACTAAGCTGGGATTGACTGTTTCCAAGTTTTCTCATTACTGTTCCTTTGTTATTTGGCCATAGTCTTGTCATCTCTGAGCACACAAGTGACGCTAGACTATTCAGAAGAAATGACACAAGAAAATGATTTTCAAAAGACTGAACTATAATTTTAGCCTCTCCTGTATGCTGGGGGAGAGCTTGGCCACCTCTTAACTGTAGGAAGAAGATAACATTGGGCATGTGTTCCAATGTGTCTCGTGCTTCCATGTTCACTCTCAAGTCAACCAGATGTGTGTCCTGTATCTCAAGGCCTTCCTAGATTATTTCAAGTGTAGTTAGATCTGTTCCCATTTCTCAGAATTCCTGACAGACTTAGATTTTGGGTCACACATTTATGGAACCTCTTTATAGCCTGTCTTGCCATGGTCTCCAGAGGTCACCTGTATAGCTTTTGTCTCCCTGATGAGAAGCAGCTCTACATTGGCAAGCACTTTTGCCTCTTCTCTTTGAGAAGTTCCTGCCCCTCCTCCCACAGGAAAGGGCACAAAGTCAGCTCACCTCCTGTTTGTTTCTAAGTAACAAGTAGGTGCTACTCTAGGTGGCCCAGGCCTGGTCTAGGCTCAGCTAGCCCAGTAGGCTGCAGCTTCATCACAAAAATAGCATTAACAGAGGCAGATGGAGAAGTCTAATAGGTTCTCTCCATGTTCATTCACACACACACACACACACACACACACACACACACACACACACACACACATGTGCAGTTTGTGAGGCTGTCTGGTGTGCTTTAATTTAATAAACAAAAATGGCCAGACATCCTTCTGAACCATTTTCCCCACTCCTCATCTAGTGCCTTAGGCTATTGTTGTCTCTCTAGCCCAACCTGGAACAACTCTGAGTTGGGCTGGGCCTTGGAGATCCAGTTTGGCCTCAGTCTGGAATGGTGAATGGACATTCATTGGACCTTCACCTATGCCAGGGACCTGGTGCCACCTAAGCCCCAGGAAAAGACAAGACTCACCTGTATTGTTGAGTCCAAAGAGCAGTGGGCAGGAGATGGTGAAGGACAGGACCCAGACGATGGCGATCATGACAGTGACTCGACGCTTGGAGCTGTAACGCGTGTTGTACAGCATGGGCATGGCCACAGCTGTGTACCTGCAAGGGTGAGGGCCTCTGAATCTGGGGTGCTGGCCCACGGACACCTCACTCTCCAGAATGCACACAGCAGAGACACCTCTGCGACCTGGGCTGGACCATTGACCACTCCATGAAGCCTGCCACAGATATGTGCACTCAACCTTTCCTGCTGTCAGAAAATGGAGGACACTTGGTGATGTTCAATCTTGCACATAATTAATGGCCAGCTTACCATGCATTCCTGAGTCAAACTTATTATTCTTATTGCCCCTCCTTGACTTCAGCCTTTTTAGGGGATATGTTTTGGGTCTTTGCACATTTGGATTTATTACATCTGTTCTGGGCACACAGAAAGTGGAAGTGTTCATTAACAGACTTGTAGTCAAGACCTCTTAGCAAGGTGTTAGCCCCATTTAGCAAGAAGTGATAACAATGGTAACTTTATCGTTTTCTCTCACATTTCTCTACCTAGCATTTCTCATTCATTAACTTGTTTAATTTTCCAAGAATCCCATGATGGGATAGAGCCAGGGATTCTGAGAGCCTTCCAAGCAAATCTGTGCAAATAAATGAAAGGCTCCAAAGAAACAGTTTGGCAAAGTAGGCAAAGCCTGGACCCCCTTAACCAGGTGACCTGTGCTGGACATAAAATCCAAAAGCAAACTCTACAACTTAGGGGTGAGTGTCATCATTAAAGTCTAGAAAATGAAACTTCCACCATCTGCCTGCAGGCACATAAGTAGGAAGTGATTAGAGCTAGTACTGAAGTCAGAAACCACTTTTTTTATACCAGTCGCTATCTGGGAATTCTTGGTGGCTTCCCTGTGCACAGGTGGCCTCTCCTTAGGGAGTCTACTATCCTGGTCAAACACACACTCGCACACACAGAGACTCATATGCACATGGCCAGCTATTAGGATCACATACAGAACCTGACCCTGAGGAGAGGTGGTACAGCCAGAAAGGCAAATGGCCAGGGTCACCTCTCCCATCCTGGCTGGGCTCACCTGTCAATGCTGATGGCACACAGGTTCAGGATGCTTGCTGTGCACATCATGACATCCAGAGTGACGAAGATGTCACAGTGAATTCTGCTGAATTTCCACTCACCCACCACCTGGGGACAAAGCAACATAATGGGTGGACAGCAGGAGGGGGACATTTGCTTAGGACAGTAGCTCAGTCCTCCTGGGGCAGGTGGATGGGCTCAGAGCACATTTCTGGGAGTTTTGTGGATCTTCAGCTAGGGCCTGGGGAGAAGGGGTAGCAGTGGGAAGCAGTGCCCATGAAGACTTGAGGCTTATGCTCCTGGACTTCCTTATCCCAGACACGTAAGTCCACTTTGTGCCAAGAACTGTACTAGAAGAAAGACGGCCCATCTAAACTGAGTGCCTCAACTTTGAACCTCAATCTGTAAACCACTTGCATGATCACTTTGTGATCCCCATAGGTTTTCTTAGATTTTGTATTTGTCTATTTGCATCCATCCATCATAGGGATAACTATATTAGCTGTATTTTCTTATGTTCCATGTTACTGATGCTGTGGTATTTGGGGACCTTACAGACCCAGGGAGAGACAGTTCCTCTTAGGGCTGGCTAACTCCTAAACATAGAAACCGGTTTACTTAAGAGCACAGCACCTCTCAAATGCAAGCCAACCACTCCTTTTATACTCTCCATATCAGGCCAGTATTTCCCCTGTCTTAAGTCATCCCAGGCCAGTTGCCAGGCAACTAGGGGCTACCTAAAGCCACTGGAATTATTCAAACTAGACAATCTTAAAATTGCTAGCTATGCCCTGCCTTGCATTCTCCAATAAAGACTGTGCTTGGGCTTTCCCCTCACCCTTGCTTCTCTGTCTTGACCCAAGCAGCTCCCTCCTGCAGCCCTGCATTGCATGCTGTGCTTCTCCATCCTGAGTAGTATTACACTCTTTTACAATGGTATTGAGCTCCCTGTGCTGTCACTTAGTCATACCTCTATAAATTAAATTCAAGGTGTCATTTTAGGACTCCTGTTTGACCAATGAGAAAACTGAGCCTCGGAAAAGTGCAATGACTTGCTCGTGGCCTGTTGGCTCAGCCTCTGGTCCCACTTTGATCCAGGTTCTGGTGAGTCAGGCAAGTCCTTCATGCTTAGTCTGTGTGCCACGAAGTCAGGGATCAAAATGGTCTATTAAAAACAGTAGTGAAAATGGTGGCTCTCTGTGAAGTAGGCAACAAATGTCTACTCCTTTTAGCACTCTGAGAATGAATGTAGACAAGTCTGTGTGGAGGTCTACAAACATCAGGATGGATTGGGGAGGGTGCTGGAGTGACCTGTCTTTGGTATGATAGGAAATAAAGAGTCCAGCTCTGGTGAAGACCATTTTGCATCCTCCCGCCATCACACACATACTCACTGCCATCCATCCGCATAGCCCAATGTCACCCACTCACACACACAAACCTCACTCACACAGATGGCAGCCCTAGCAGCTCTGGAAGTTTGGAGCAGCCCCCATCCTGGAGAACACCTTTGGCTTCTACCCACAGGAGAGAGAGAGGTACAAGACAGTCGCTTGTACAAAAAAGTTGCAGTGGAGCAGAGCAGCACTGACTGCTGTCCCAGCTCAGCACGACAGCTGGGCTAATTCTCACCATTGCCCTCTCTTCTGCTGTAGGCCAGGGAGCCAAATACTGGAATTGAAACTCCATAATGGGCAAGGGAGCTGCTGTGGCCTCGTGTGGAGAAATCAGCATCTTTTCTCAGAAGACAGGAAGCCTTTCCCATGGCTTTGTCTTCTCATGGCTCATTTGGGGCCCTATCCCCAGCCTCTCCTGGCCCCATGTGCTATAGGAGCTGACAGATGGATGTCTTGTTGGGTTTGGGGGTACAAGGCATGGCCGGGGCTTCCCAGGATAAGCAGGTACCACTGAGCAGTCCCAGGCCCATCTGGTTACTGGCTTTGAATCCTATCCTGAGACTGATCTGGGAGCTGCCTTTATGTCCCAGCAGATATGGGTCTGAGATATCAGGGCCACACTCCCTGTCTTCTGTCTCTTCTTCCCTCCCATTTCTGTCTTCTCTATTTATACCTACAGAGAAACTCAGTGTGTGCCAGGCTATCCTAGACTCCTGGATAATGTTGGAATGATTTCAGACATCCCTTTCTTCAGGGAGCTCTCAAACCCCTCTCCTCATTGGCCCCTCTGGAGCCCAGAAGAAGGGGGGGTTGTTGTTCTGTAGTCCCAGGAGCAGCTGCTGTGGAGAGCAGTTAAGAATAGCAACTCAGAGACCCAAGAAAAAGTATAGGCAGTTTATAGGACATCTACTATGTCCCTGTATTTCATCTTATTTATTGCTTTTCAAATTCACACAAGAAGGGATTGCTGATCCTTGCTCCAGGTGAGGGGAAGGAAGCTCAGAAAGCCACAAAGCAGGGCCAAGTTCACCCAGCAAGTATTCGGTATGCTGGAATGTGAGTCAAGGTCTTTAAGCATCACATTCCATGTTCTGTACTAAACCTGTCTTGGAAGGGACCATTTGGTTGTCAAAAGGAAAGACCCTATGTGAATAGTCTTTGGTAAACATAAAGTGTGACTGGGAGAGATTATCATTGCAAGTTTATCCACCCTTGGGTTCACAGAAGAAAACTTGTCCAAGGTCACTTGAGACTTAGCAACAGCAGAAGGGCTGGCCCAGGTTTTCTGGTCATACCCAGGACTCTTTTTTCACTCTCTTAGGCAGCTTTCACTGATATTCTTGCTCATGTGGAGCTGAAACCTGCATGATGGGCTCTGAATTGGTGACATTAAATTCCAAAAAATAACCATAGTAGTGTTATGCCCTTACTATATTTCAGGCTCTGTTCTAGACACGTCATGTTTATACTTATGGAATGAAGACAGCAAACCTTAGTGACAAGGGCCATTGGTGGCTTTTGAAATCTACAGTCTAGGGGCTCTGCCTAGCTTAGTCTCCTAGATAGCTCTTCCAGAAGCATTACTTCTCCCTGTAAGCCTTCCCAACACCTCCAGGCTGGGCCACGTGCCCTCCATTGTGTCCCCAACTTTTGTGGAGACTGCTCCATGCTACCTCCATCAGACTGTACTGTCCTGACCCTGTCAGTCTTTTAATTCATGACAGGCCAATGGCTCAGACCCCAGCCCAAGGATGGAGTAGGATAAAGTGCCCGATATATGATAAATGACTGAATAAAGGACTCTAGAACTGATCTTTTTACTTTCACTGCTAGAAAAGGACACAGAACGTCTCATCAGAATCAGAAAGGCTGTGTGGCCCCTGGCTGCCCTTACACAGGAGCTTGCCTCACTCCTACTCAGGTGGAAAGGGTAGAGTCAGGATTTGACCTCAGTCTCCTCATTCCCAAACCAGCCTGCTTTCTATATACTGAGAAGAACAGACCCAAGACAGACAACAGTTGGTATGACAGGTATCGGGGGCATTTAACATTGCGGGAACAGGATAGAAAATACTGGATAACAAGGGAGCTTCCTGGAAAGGTTACAAGATGTGGTTGAGAGGACACCTTGATAGGATATTGGGTGAGATAATGTCCACTTGGGACATTCTCTGGGGATGATAAATAGCTGAGACCATGTCTTTTGGGCAGAACTTGCTGACTAGCTCTTGTTTTCAGTGGAATTCTATGAAAGATCTTGAATTGCCTTGTGAGAATGACTTTCTACACTCCATCCCTCTAAAATAGGGGTCAGCTTTGCCTCAAAAATAATGGTGAACAAATATGTTTAAAACTTCTGCTTGAAAGACTTAGATTCTTAGAAACTCCAACATAGTCCACATACAGATTTGTCCCTACCCAAGGGTCTGGATAGGGATGGGGAGTCTGGAAGCCAACAAAACCCATAACCAGAGTCCTAGGCAAAACAGACCTCACTCTGGGAAGAGGTCTGTTTGGTGGATGGGTTTGGTGGATGGAAGGGAAGGGGAGCATCCTCTCTAAGTGGAGAGGTGACGGATATCCTGTCATCAGCTTCACCTTTATCACCCTTGTCATAGGCTTACTATGTGCTAGGTACCTTTCTAATTACTTTGTACAGAGTAATTCATTTGCTGCCTAGATGAGTTCAAGGTAGGTACCATTAGTACGCCTATCTCATAGATGAGGAAACAGAGGCACACAGAGATTGATTGTTCTAAAATCATTTTTCCCTACCTCTTTTCCCTGATGGTCTGAGGTCAAGGACCCCTCCTTTGGAAAGCAGCAGGAGTGTATCAACCCCTGAGAATTAAGAAGGGACTCCTCAGGGAGAGGCCTCCAAACAGGACATGGGATGGACTGAGACAGAAACGTGCACCATAGGGGAACTGCACCCCTGGCCTGTGTCGCTTGTCTTTTTTTTTTAACGTTGTTTTGTATTTGTTCTGTTTCCTTTTGGCTATTCTTCAGTATTCAGTAATGTCATTTTGAAAGTTCAAGCTTGTTTTGGCTGTTCTAACAAAACCAAGGGATGGTGGCCCGTGTGGTGGGGACAACAGGATATGAGAATCTTTTGGGAGCCTAGAGACAGGCAGGTGTACCACTTTTGACCAGCCTCCCCTCCTTACCTGAGCTGCTATTTCTAGTGGCCTGTGCTTAGCTCTACAAAGGGTTTGTACTTGCCTTCATCAACAGAAAGTCCTTCCTCCCAGGCAGGACTTGTCTTTGTGCCATAGGTGAGCAATCTGCTTGCCCAAGGCAGCAAGGTGATAGCTCAGTGAGCTGAGCATTGGCTCTTTCCTAACGCCTGATTGACTTCTTACGCACCTAAACTCAAGACTGGCTTCAGCCCTGAACCGACCACCCCCAGAGTCTTGGGCAGAGAAAGCAGCAGGACCTAGCTATACACATTGAATTTCCCTAGACCCCCACATCAGCCTGCAAGGCCTGGAGAATGTCCATCTGGAGGTGGGGTCCACTTAGGGACCCATCTATCAGCATCTCCCTTTGCCCCAGGACAACTGTTTCTTCTCAGAGTCTCTATCTCCCGTTCTGCAAAGTGAAGAGAGGAGCACTGACTCCCGCGATTGCCTGATCAGTAGCTGCAACACACTTGGTACAGAGCTGGGACCACAGCAAGGGACTGCCCACTCCCCATCTCAAGGCACAGAGCTGGACTCTGTCTTGATCGGTACAATGGGCAGCTGTGGATCTTCCTGAGGAAAGGGGTGGCTGTGCAGGTAATGGCTGCCTGTCCTGAGGTCTTGGACACGAATGTCAGCATAAACTGGAAAGAGGGGGAATAGAGCGGCAGCTCCCATTTCTGACATGGGAAGAGAAGGATGAGGATTTCAGGCCTGGGAGCAGGGACACATCCCCTCCTTGGGGTTCCTCACCAGTTACTCACATTCCCAGTATGAGCTATTGAACCAACTGCAGGACCAGACAGAGTTCCAGCTTAGACCTACTAGCTGTGTGATGCTGGAGAAGTCACCTAACTTCTGACTATCTGACACAGACACACCATTTGCAAAATGGTGATAATGGGAACCTCCCAGAGTGGCTGTGAGGATTCTACAGGAAAATGCTGTGCATAAAATACATACCACAAGGCCCAGCACTTAGAAAGCACTCTACAAATGGAGTTGTGATTATCCATGGAGACAATCCGTGCAGTCAGTAAGGAGGAAAAAGTGAACCCAGGGAAAAGAGAGAGACCACCTGGGGAACTGGCAGGCAATGTGTTGGGAGAAACCAGTGGGGACCTGGAGTCCGGGCTTCAGCTCAGTGCCCTCCTAGAGAGAGGCAGGGGCCCAAACCTACCTCCAGGTAGACGACCCAGGGCATGACCAGTGTGGCTACCAGGAGGTCGGCCACAGCGAGACTGACGATCAGGTAGTTGGTAGTGGTCTGCAGAGCCTTCTCTCGAGACACAGCCATGCATACTAGCACGTTCCCAAAGATGATGATGAAGATGAGTAGGGTGAGCAGCATAGCATAGTAGTTGTAGTGGGGCCTGTCCGCCTTTCCTTCTGACCCATTGAAGGGCCGGCTCCAGTTCTGCCTCTCCAGATCGTCATCGTACCAGGACAGATTCAATGGATCCATCGGGGCAGCGGAGCCACTGGGTGGCAAGGCTCTGACCAGGAAAAATGGACACAGGGAGTAAGCAGGAGGGCCTCCAAGGCACGCTGCCTCCCAGAGGCTGAAAACCAATCACTTGTAAGGAATATAGAGAATTCTCCCACTTCAGGATTTTAGCTTTTACATTCAATGTTTTTGTTTTTGTTTTTAGAAATGTTGGGGCCTGCTACCATTTTTATGCTAGCAAGTTCTTGCAGATAGTAGAAGAAATAAGTGAATACATTTTTAAAATATAATAAAATTAATGAGCCTGAAAGAACTGATCATTTGTTCTTTCATTTATTCAACAAACTCATAAGCACAATCCATACACCATATACTTTAAGATAAGTTAGCTTGGAGTCAAGCTTCTGGTGGTAGAAACAGAAATAGGTATTCAATAATTCTTGATTCTATAAATATTTATTAAACATTTTTCTATATAGTGCCAGAAAACATAGAAAGAAATAAAATACAGGTGGTTCATCAGCTCACTTAAATCTATAGGTGGTACAGACGAAGAAATGGAACGTATACAGAGATACATATCCTTGTTTAGGTATTCAAAGAAGATTTTCTGATGGAAGTAAAATTTAACACATCCTGAAGGATGTGTAGCCAGGAAAGAGCTGTGAGTTGAGGGGAAAGGTTTAAATATAGGAAGCACCATATGCAAAGCATATAGTTCAATACCAGGTACCAAAGAGATTCTGAACAGCAGAAGTGCAGAGGGTCTTGGCATGAGTTCAATCTGGGAAGGTTGCTTATGTGAGATCCCAGAGGACCTTAAAAGTTATGGTAAGAGTTAGACTTGATTCCAAAGCTAGCAGGAACCATATGAATAGATCCGACTATAGTATAGAGAGTAGACTGAAGGGGCCCAGAGTGGAAGCCAGACACCAGTGGAAGGCTGTTGTAGAAATCCAAGCAAGAAATAATGAGGCCCAGCAGGATACTTCTAATGGCAGCTCTGAGGAATGGGCATCTCGTTCCCAAGGGGAAAGACTTCAGGAAGGAGGTCTGTCTGACGTGAAGTAAGAGGAGATGCCCAACCAACTGATGGGGTGAGAAAACAAAGCACATTCCCAACAGTAAATCATGCTGTCTGGCTGTGAGGTTGGGGAAAATTAAACCAGAGGGATATTCGTAGGCCAGAATGGGTCTTAACAGCTTGAGAGCTTCTGAAAGGCCCCCATTGTACAGGGCTTCTGGATGCTGTGGTGTGGAAGAAAGTTTGAAGTGGAGGGAAGTGACTATAAGTCAGGTAAGAGATGGTAGTCGCTGCTGAAGGTGGGAATGAGGATGGAGAGATGTGTTCAGAATCAGGCACTAACTTAGCAATCAGTCTCATGGAACAGGGTTATTGGATAGATGTGGGTGGGAGAATGAAGAGAGAGGTGAATGGGGATAGAAGGAGTCCAGGACAACTCCAGCATTTCTGCTTTGGGTTCGGGGAGGCTGGCAGTGGTGTGCTCACAGAGCGAAGAGAGCAGAAGGGCTCAGGAGCAAACTCAGGAGGTGTGAGACATTGACGAGCCTGACAGCCAGTGTTTTGGTTGTGATTGAAACATAAAGCTCATGTAATATAGTCAGTTTCCCTGCTAACAAAGTGTTTCTGCTTCACACAATGGAATTATATTTATCAGCATTTCAAGGCATTTCAACCAAAGCACCATGACTCCTGGGTGCTTTGTTACCCAAGTGGACTTAAAAACCAACAGTTTATGCTGGTCAGGATGAACGTGGTATGATGTCCAAATCAGAGAGCTAGACACACTCACTGCACCAGGCAGCAGGTCAGAGGGAACCATGGAGAAGGCTCTGCCCAGCTCTGAATCTCATCCCGGCCTTACGTATCCACTCTGTCCAGCTCTCAGTAAGGGAGTAACTGATGGTGTCCTACTAAGCACCAGCATCCTGAGGGCTTGGGAAAGCAAAATACCTAATTCCATGTGGGGTGACATAGAATATCACTGTGCAACAAGTTTTCTGGTTCTAAGGCCATGAAGCACTATGTCATGTAGATACTATATTCAGCAACCCCGACTGCTCCCTCTTCTAATTTGGAGCACACAGAAGACCTGAATATATATATTGATCAGACAACAAGAGCTGCTGTTGACATTCATGTATCCAGTCAGCATCACATGAAACACGGTGTGAAGCAATGTTGGGAGCCTGGAGACTATGTGAGGCACACTTGCTCCCACCCCCACTCCTGACCATTCCCCTCTGCTCTTCCCCCACTTCTTTAGTCCCTCTGCTGTTCTTGCAAAGGGTTTGGGAGTTTGCCAAGCTATTTTGGATATACTATCTCATTCATCCTCAAAACAACTCTCTGAAGCTTTTAGTCACTAGCTCCACTTTACGAATGAGGAAAGTAAATGGCGAACTCTACTCAGGGCCCACAAATCCTTTAAAGCAAGACTGGCTCAGAATCCTGTTGATGTCTTCCTGCCTGGGCCATTTCTCACCCTCCTCAGGCTCCATCAGGGTTGTTCCACAGTTCCATCCTGAAATATACCTTTTTTGTGTGGCTGCTTTTGCACTGAGGTGTAACCTCAAGAGTCTGTAGCACATGATTGCTCATATCTCATCTTCTTCATGGAATGAACAAATAAAAAACACATCACCTTGTTCTTTTCTGACTCCTCTGTGGTTTGCAGGCACAAGTGGTCAATAGTTGTTTGCTGAACTGGGTCAAAGGCTTTGTTAATATAACTGGGAAGAAAACCCCTTGAAATGTTCTGGCAAGCATATACCACCAGATTCACAAGTGTCAAAAAAAGTAATGCAGCCCAAGATGAATGTGCTCCTCACAAAATTCATATGCTTAAACCCTAAGCCCAGTACCTCAGAATGTGACTATTGGAAGACAGGATTTTCAAAGAGGAAATGACATTAAAATGAGGCCATTAAGGTGGGCTCTGATCAAATCTGACTTGTGTCCTTGTAAGAAGAGGAAATTTGAACACAAGGAAGACACCAGGAATACACACAAGGAAGAAAGACCATCTGAGGATACTGTGTGAAGGAGGAAGGCTCTAAGATTCAGCAAATACCATCCATGGGACCTGGCTACAAGACAAACCTGAATGAATCTCAGGAAGCGGTAGCAGCTAGTCCAAAGGATCCAACTCTCCGAGGCCACCTGCTATAAGCAAGGACTGATACTCACCACTGTATTTCATAGGCTGTAATACATGATGGCATGTGAGATGCACCATTGTTTTATGTAACACTATGAAAGAAAAAGAACACCATCAAAACCCACCACAACCGATGTTGTCAGTTACAAAGTGCACTCTGATTTCAGAAGCTGAAGTGGGAAGAGTATGCATCTTAGAATTGATAAACAAGATTGCCTCCCTGGCACTTCTTGGCTGGCATTTTCTCAGGAGGCCTGGACAAACCTGCCAGCCCAGGCTCCCTGTGCTCCAGCTCGTCCCTTCCTCTTGTCCTCTGCCTCAGGGTTACACAGGTCTTTGGGCTTCAAAGGGCACTCCATGAGAAGGCACAGGGGAAGAATCAGGCTGTAGCCTTTTTCTCTCCAGGGGCACATGGAAGAACCCTCAGACCCCTGCCCTTGCCCTGCTTCTTTAGGCTTCTGTGTCCCGGCCAATTTGGGCCCATGAGTAGGACAGATGAGTAGGACAGCAGCGCAGGGCTATTCCAAGTATTCTTAGCTGGTTCTGACTCCAAAGAAGTCCAGCGAGGTAAATGTCTATTCTGGGACTCATGTAAGAGAAATGCTAAGCCACACAGCAACCAGGACCTTGGATTTGCTGGATAGTCCAAATTTTTTTGTTCTTTTTTTTAAATAGAGATTGAGTAACTGTATAACCCAAGGCAAATTATTCATAGAGTCCTAAGCTTTCTCAGATGAATAAGATCACGTTTTTTAAAAATCTATTGTCAAAAAAGTATTTTGATATCGGTTTTTAAAAATGTGATCAACTTGTTCACAACCCTCCAAATACGGCCTCCATCTCCCTCCTAGGTAGCGCTTATCTCACGCATGAAAGATTGATTACAAAAGCTCCAAGTCGCAGTCCCCAGTCAATGTTAGCATTTGGTGATGACCAAGTGGACATGGTCACTGCCAGATCTCACCCTTCCTGGGAGAGGAGTGAATGCTCTAACCCTGACATTCCAGGCCCCACTATTCCATGGGGCACAGAAGTGGGAAGTGGGGAATGAGGTAGGGGACAAAGTGGGGAAACTTGGGTGCAGCATAAGCCTAAGCAACCTGTTTCCTATGCTCTACGCTCAGCTTTAGTCTTGTGCTGCCTACTCTTAAGTTTGGCACTTGAAAGAACCTAATTGTCTAATTAAAATTTAACAATCTCTTATCAGGCTCGATGGCGGGTGAGACATTGCTGTCTTAAACACATCAGTTTTTTCTTTTCTGAGACTTGAAGCATTTCAATGAAAAAGTAGAGCGAAGGAAAAAAAAGCACTTTGTATTTGCATCTGAAAAGCAGCTTGGCGGAGTGACTTGAGTTGGATGGTGATGGGGAGCAGAGTGGGCTGGGTCCCTGGCAACCAGGACCACCACCTCCCTCTCCTCCTGGTAGAGAACCAGGCTGTAGCTTAGGAGTGAGTCGTTCCCCTCAGAAGCTCTTGGGACTCCCAGGAGACAGGGTGGGAGACAAAGGAGAAGGTACCCTGTTTGTTTCTCTTCCTAAGAGATAGGAAGAGTCAAAGAATAATACTCTCACATACTCTGGCCCTGGAGGCAGCCTCAGCAAGGGGCTGAGAAAACAGAGCTCTGGGCTCAGAAGTCAAGGCTAGGCACCTATCTTAGAGGACTCCTGGGCCTAACCCTTAGGGAGGCTAGAGTGGGTAGATGAAGAGGCACCATCACTGTCTCAAGGCTGCAAGTCCTGGGTTGAGGATGTGGGGCGTTCTGTGGAGGAGGAGGGGGAGAAATGAAGTCAAGTGTTGAAAGGAAGAAGAACCAGGGTATGGGGGTGGGACAATGGGTGCTGTCAGCCACTAGGCTAACCATTTCGT